CATGGCTAACGGCAGGATCAAGATGTCGCTCGGGCAACACCGAATCATCCAGCACAGGGAGAAGAGCAACGACGGAGACTGGCACAGAGTAATTAACAGTTCACGGTTTTAGTTGCTCTTGTTCGCTCACAGCACGTATGAAGTGATAAACACAACAACTGGGAATTCACAGCAACTTTCAAGCATTAGAGGGCTGAACTATGAAGATTAGTGGGGTAGTGAGGGATGCTGAGTCTGAATCCAGACTTCTCATTGCGATGAAGGTGGCTCTCATTTAACCTGCTTGGTCACTATGGAAACTGATGCTGCACAGCTGACCAAGAGTTTGGGAGTTTTTTTCCTGTCCTGATTTTTTTCTCTATTCTCAGTTGACGGAACATTTTGTATCTGCAGACCTGTTGAGCTGTATGTTAGCAATGCCTTGAAGCACATTAAAAACACAGGATCTGAACTAAAGTGCTTACTAATGCAGAAAGAAGGTTAATGTTGCAGATTAAAACCCTGCAAAGTTATATGTTATATAAATGTAGCTCACTAGTTCAAATATTAAGACCACACAGTATTAACTATTGTACACATTTGCATGACGAAATTGAAATATTAGGACCCTAAAATATTACATATAATACAAATTAACCCAACTGAGTTAAAGTTCAGGAACTTACAATATTATTTTTTAAACCAAATTAATCCATCCATTATCTATACACCGCTTAATCCTCACGAGGGTCATAGGGGGGCTGGAGCCTATCCCAGCTGACTTAGGGCGAAGGCAGAGGACACCCTGGACAGGTCGCCAGTCTATCACAGCTCCACTTAGAGACAGACAACCAAGCACACTCACATTCACACCTACGGACAATTTAGAATCACCAATTAACCTCAGCATGTTTTTGGACCTTGTGCCAGAGAACCCGGAGAGAACCCACGCTGCACGGGGAGAACATGCAAACTCCACGCAGAAAGATCCCGGGTGTCCTCACCGGGACGCGAACTGGCGACCTTCTAGCTGCGAGGCAACAGTGCTAAATCACCGAGCCACCTTGCAGCCCCAAACCAAATCAGTGACCAGCTAATTTAAAAATTAAGGTTAATACTCCATAAAATGAATTGAACAACAAATCCAAAGATTTCTCTTTGAGCCAACACATTGGTGACAGTGGAGCAAAACAAACACAAACTTTAATGCATTCTCTCCACTTTCAGCCTTGTTTTTGATTTTATAAAGACTATAAAAGAATACACCACTCTTCCAAACACCCTTCCAAACTAAATAAATGTAGAATATTGCTTTATAACGCTTCTGTGCAGACACTGGGTGGAAATCAAAAGCCTGACACTTACTTGGACAGTTATTATTGTTTTTGGGGAGGGGAGGTTCATAGTGCAGTAAATCTTATTATCTTCATACATCCCCACACATAATAAAAATGTATATATAAATGCAAATATGAAATGATGAAGAATGATGAACAATAAAATTGAAATCATTTCACTCTCAGGACAGTAGAATAGAAAAGAAAAAATGGATACAACACTACACCTTATGGAACTAAACAATACGGTGCATTTTTATGTCCATGAATATTGTTCTCAGTCATCATTCACTCACTTAATGAATGAATGAATGAATGACAGATTGTCTGTGTGTGTGTGCAGGTTGAGTTCAGTGTGGAGAAAAGCACTTTCCACCTGCTGGTTGATGGCATCAGAGTGACTGATGGTAAATTACCCAACGAAGAAGGTTCATCTTTAAACCTGTTGAACCCCGTGTATCTGGGAGGAGATCCAACCAGCAGAACCACTAAAGTTTGTACCAAAACTCGAGCTTTGTCACATATTTTCACATGTTTTTTTGTAGTTTACGCACTGACTGTTGTTTCTTCTGCTCCCTCAGGGACACAACGTTCCCTTGAACAGTCTCATCAGCTGCGTTCGGGATTTCAGAATGAATGAAGTTGTTGTGGGTGAACCTGATGCCAGCAACAAAATCCTACCCTGCTGACAAGATGCTTAAAATGAGTAATTAATTGTATAAAAAAAACGAATTAGCGCTTCAAAAGTAAAATACTGTAAATGTAACTATGAATGAAGGATTCAGTTTTTTGTGTCTGTTCTTGGTTTTTCTCAACAGTTCGAGCTGTACAAACACTGGCAGGTGTAGTTACTATAAATGCACAGAAGATGACTACAAATGGATAAAATCTTGCTATTAAAGAGCAACAGATCATTACAAATGTTATATATTATTATAAATGTCTGAAATTCATTTATCTTAAAGGACCAGCTCTGCCAAACGTCTTGGAGAACATATTGTAGCCACCTAAACCACTGAAACACCCTAAACAGAGCGTTTGTGTGGTTGGTTTGTCAGCTCTGAGCTGCTGTACAAACATTGCGGTGCAGGACAGGGAACTCAGTGGGAGATCAAAACACATAGATTTTTGTATTCATGCATCATTTAAACACTGATGAAAACAGAATTAGAAATATTCTGTTCCATTTCCTACAATAGATTCTCACTTTAATACCACAAATTGCACTTTTTATTTAGTAATAAGTTGCTTAAATGTGTAATAAATTAGTTATAAGTCTGGGATTGATTTTTATAAATGAGATGAAACCCTCTGTATCAATTTCAAAAAAAGTGTTTTTACATCAGCCACAGAAATACACACTAAGCATGGCATGGCTATATATGAGTACTTTAAACGTATAATACTTTACATCAAGTATGTACTTCCATGAGTCAGATTGTATAACTGATTACTATAAATGAAACATCAATTCTTCTAAATGTGCACAGATTTATATTTTGAGTAATAAACTTCCTTCAGAATTGGAATAAATTGTTTTAAACAAGCAATAAATAGCTATGAAAGTTTAATAAATAACTTTGGATAGGTGAATAAGTTACTCTGAAAGCGTAACAAATTTAATATGATAAACTTAGTGATTACTTTACTCTGTGTACTCTAGAGTATGTAAAACAGCTCGATGAGTAATGTATTACCATAATTATATCATGTCTTACTATAAATAAGTAGCAAAGACATGACATGAGTAATAATGTACTTTAATGACTAATTGATCACTCTAAAAGTGTAATAAAATCATTATAACATCATTATAACGACTGAGTGTTTGCATTTATTATTTTGTGCATTGCTGTAAATGTGCAATAAATCACTATACCTCAGTAATAGATTACATTAAATGGGTAATCTATTACTATAATTGTTGCTTTAAATGAATAGAGGCATTACATGTGCAATAAGTTACTTAATGATTATTTGATAGCCCTAAAAATGGGATTAATTACTTTAAATGAGTAAGTACAGATCTAAGCAAGTTTTCTAAATGCCTAAGAGATGACATACATTCCATGACTAGGGCTATGTATTACTATATGAGTAGTCCATCCATCCATCCATTTTCTATACACCGCTTAATCCTCACTAGGGTCACGTGGGGCTGGAGCCTATCCCAGCTGACTGAGGGTGAAGGCAGGGGACACCCTGGACAGGTCACCAGTCTATCACAGGGCTACACTTAGAGACAGACAACCAAGCACACTCACATTCACACCTACGGACAATTTAGAATCACCAATTAACCTCAACATGTTTTTGGACTGTGTGGGAGGAAGCCAGAGAACCTGGAGAGAACCCACGCTGCACGGGGAGAAACTTGACGCAGAAAGATCCCGGGTGTCCTCACTGGGACGCGAAGCAGCAACCTTCTAGCTGCGAGGCAACGGTGCTAACCACCGAGCCACCTTGCAGCCCTATATGAGTATTACTTAACAGTATTCTAGTAAAAATTACAAGCAATAGAGACATTAAGCATGTAATAAGTTACTTTGGATGAGTTATGGATTACTTTAAAGTGCAATAAAGCACCTTAAAGGAGCAGTACGTGCATTAAAGAGCACTCTGAATGTGCAAATAAACATTTTGCATAAATTACTGATTAAGAGAGTAATCTAAAAATAGGACAGATTGTTTAACACAAGTAATAGATTACTTTAAGACTAACAGATTACTATAAATGAACAATCCCTCCATCAGCTATACTCACTTTATCCTGCAGAGGGTTGTGTTGGGCTGAAGTCTAACCACAGCTGACTCTGAAGCAAGTTACACGCTGGACAGGTCGAAATTAGCAATAAATTACAATGAATAAGTAATACATGACGGTAAAGAGTAATAGATTACTGTAAGCTTATAATGATTGCTATAAACATGCAACAGATGACTATAAATGATTATAAATGTGTAATAACTTACATTAAATGAGTAGCAGAAAAACACAAAGTGACTGAATCCCAGAAACAAAAACAGAGAAGTGAAATAAAACCACAACTTTGAGGTTTAGAAAAATGGCTTTCTCAGCAATACATCGTGTGGTTTGCTTCATAACTTTGTGTTCAGTATGTGTAATAAACAATATAATACATAAGCGTAAAGCAGCCTTTAATAAACACCTTTCCCCACATGCTCTTTCTTGCCTGCGCTGCACCGTGATTTGACAAAACAAACGAGTCCGGTGTGATTTGAATATTTCAAAACACTCTTAATTCCCATGCTGGGAGATCTGCATCTCATCTGGGTGAATGTTTACCCACCTGAAAACGGCAAACAAACAGGATCAGGAGCCATATGGGGTGAAAAGGAGCCAAATGGATCACAACACAACTGTGAAGAGAGTCTGATGAAAAACTTCACTCCACTCACTTTAAAACCATCCTGTTGAGAACCTGTCAGATCAGATTAAACTATTTCCCTCTGAATTCCGCGAGCGAGCATAAACGATAAAAACATACAGGGATGCATTTAAATATTCGAGTGTGCTGGGGAGACATAATTTAAGACTGAAACTACCATAACTTCTCCATCGTGTGACCTCATGAATCCCTAAAATAATCTTACATGTGCTTTATAAAGTTCTGAACACAACATGATTCTACAGACTGAACAATAAAAACAAAACTAGTGTTGGTCAGTTGTTAAAGTCATTTTTATGAGGGCAGTGTTAGTACAGAAAACATACAATAGTAACAGACTGTATGTGGTTTTTGTGAGTCCAGAGGAAATAACATGATGAGGTCACTGACGGTTGAATCTGTGGAATATATATACGTGTATATATACACACAGATATACAGTTGGAGTCAAAACACTATGATGAAGATTTAAAAGAAGACAGATGGACACTAAAACCATAAACCCGTCCACTGTGCTTAAAAAAACAACAACAAAAAAGTCCATTACGAACACTGTTCTTAGTGTAACTACTGATTGTGGATATTTCTGTGCACAGCTTTCCCAACACAAAGTAGATTAAGGCCACACAGTTTAAGTACACTTTATCATATTGCTTGTAGCTATTTCATTTAAAAAAAAAAAAAAAACAAACAACAAAAAAACCACAGTTAATGCTGCTCTTTACTGTACAGGTGTTAATTCTCTGTATGGGAAATGTCTGTTAGTAAATGTCCGGCAGCTGGCTGTAAGTCCTGTCCCAGTATCCGCCACAGAAGAGCCAGTCCTGGGAGTTGGTGTGGGGGTTCTGGCCCTGCTGAAACCACCTAGAAACACAAGTGGAAGACACATCAGCATTCACAGAGGAGCTCGGTCAGATAGACATAACGCGAATAAATCAGAGCAAGCGAGGAAGGAAAGGGTCAGGCATGCTTCATCTCAAGGTTACGGGTAATTTGTATGGGAGTTTTGGTTGCTATTTGTTTGACATTAACTGCACATAAACAGGGAAGGAGCGATTTGGAAGGAGGACGCCCGCGGCGTTTGAGTAATTGCATTTAGAGCCAGTAAGTGGAGTCATGCTGGTGGAAGGAAGAGCGGATTGTTAACATTGTCTCCAAACTGCGATTCTATCATCAGTGAGCCTCTATTATATCCACACAGAAAGCGTGACACAGCTACAGATCAGATTTACATTCAGTGAGAGAGAAAGACAGAGAGAAGTGCTCGGGGAAAAAAAAAATCACATCAAACATTTCATCAACGGCGAGCAAGCTCTGACCTCGGGCCCAGGGCAGGACTCCTTAACATCAAAGCGAGGACGCAGCAGGAAAACGAGACAAGTGAAAGATTAAAAAAATAAATAAATAAAAAAAGCAGTTTTAGCTCCAGCATCTCAAAGCAACAAAGTGCCAAACAGTGTAGACAAAGAAAACTGCAGTATTAAACACAATGAAAGCTGCACATAAAGTAATGACATGACTGTTTCCATACAAGTGTGAAGTGAATTAGAAGCAAACTTTTAAAAAGCTGTGAAAAATGTAAAAAGTCAGAGCAGATAAACTAGGCTGCGTAGTTTCAACAGAAGGTGGCGGTATAGGCCATGTCACATGAAACCAGTTGTTTAACTGG